TCCCTCCCTCCCTCTCATTCTCTCCATCCCTCCCCCCTCTCTCTCCAGGAACCCTGGAGATTGCAAGGGAGCAGCGCCGTTTTCTCTCTCCTTCTTCTGACCCGGAGAATTTGGGCAGAGTTGGACTTTGTTTGCGGATCCCGACGGGACCCAACCGGGAGCAGCGCCTCAGCGCTTCCTCCTTAGCGGCCGGCCGGCCTCTTCGGTTGCCAGTGCAAAGGCGCGCGTGTTTGGAGGGCGATGCTGCTGCACGGGGCGCCCCTCTGGCTCTTGGGAGCGGCGCTGGGGTCCTTCGTGCTTGGAGCTCTTCGCGGTGAGTTTGCAGGGAAGAGTGAAAAGAGAGGAGTCAGAGCTCCGCCCTCCCGCCCTTCTCCTGCCTGGGCAAGGGGCCAGCAGACCCGTCCATCCAGCTGCACCCTGATCCGCAAACATTCACCTGGCTTGGAAGGGTTTCCACTCTGGGGAGCCGCTCAGATCTTGTGACCTGCATCTTATCTAAATGTGCAGTGTGACTTTAAGATGTTGGACCATCGGCCTGTTTCCTCATTTGGGATCGATTCTATCCCTGGTGGGGGCAGAAAGGAAGATCTTCAGTTGGGAAAAGAATTGCTGAGAGGGGATTGAGGATATGAGATTAAAATAGGACCAGTGATTCTGGAAAAGGTAATACAGGAGCAAACAAATGTATATATGTATATATTGGAACAATTGTATACAGGGAAATATCTATTGATGCGATGCTGACCAAACGTTATGTCAAGCCAACTTCACTACGTTCATTGTTTCTAACTCTTTTCCGAGTCATAAAATATTTATTTTTTTAAAAAAAAAGATGTTGGAGGGGATGGAGCTACAGGGCAAACTGCAACCCCCCCCATCAATGCTGCCCTTCCCCCTCCTCCCTCTCCAGGCCCACCCACACACTCCCTGAGCTACTTCTACCTGCACCTGCCAGAGCCCAGCCTGGGGCCACCTCAGTTCTCCATTTGGAGCTACCTGGACAACCAGCCCATCGCTCGCTTTGACAGCCTCACCAGGAAGATGGAGCCCCTGGTGCCCTGGATGGGGGAGGTGGAGAAGGAGGCCTTTCTTTCTCCGGAGTGGGTCTTCAGGACCGAGCGGAAGTTATCCAAACGGGACCTCCTGGCT